CGAAGGTTAAATGGATCTTCATTTTCCAGAGTATTTTGTTTAACAAATCCATCCCGATCCAACAGAATTTTATACCCCTTCTCTAATTAAGCAATGGACCCCAAGATTTTAAGAATTAGCAAACATTTTGATAGGTAAAATCAAAGATCGCTTCACGTTACTTATATCAGTCCCGAAAAACCAATTGACAAAATCGATCTTCAACACTGCTCACGTGAGAATGGAAACCTTCAATTCGAAAAAAATATCTGTTAATCGGTTCATGTAATAATATCGTGTTGTATACTCATATCAACGGAATAATTCCAAGGGTTATAACGCATCATTATTGTTCGTCATGGAAGCTGTCCCATCCATCTGAACGAACAAGCTTCCATGGCCAACAATACACCTGTCTAACTTTGTAATACAGTATGGGATATGAGTAGCCGAACAAGCCGCAGTGGGTCACATGAGCAGACTTCTCTGAGTATTATAAGATTTTTTTTTGGGGGGGAGGTGGGTTGGGATCGCTAGACACAAAGTCGAGCAGAAGAATTCAAGAACAACTATTATCAGGTTACTTAAAATGTCCCTCATTTATTGTTCAAAATGTTTTCAAAAATTTCACACGAATCAAAGAATTTTGAGTTCTTTTTTTTTCTGAACAATAACATTTGTCCTGTTTCGCCTTTTACTTGACAAATCAATTGTTGAATTTTTGTGCTCCATAAACTATTTAGTCAATAAATAAGTTGTGATTTATTGTAAACTTTTGAAATAAACAATGTAATTTTTCGAATTTGTTGGTAATTAAATAAAATTTAAAACAATATGGTTTTTGATTTTTTATCGTTTGCAAAATTCTGTAATCTGTATCACATAAAACAAATTCATAGTAAATAATCGTATTCTTGATTCTTTATCCACATAATAATAGTTCAGATTAGAGTGTCCAAATTTTCTCCTATTGTTTAAATAATAGAAACCAAATTGAAATTAATAATCTGGACGCTCTAATACTACTCTATTTGGAAAAACTGAAACTGATTAAATTTTAGTTAAGAAAACTTGGATGTCAAAATGGATTTTCTGAAGATCTATAATGAGCATTTGTCTAATCATTAAATTTTTAGTAGTTAGCTAAGAAGTATTTTACCCAGATTTTTGGTTTCAATTTGGTTTCAATTATTTAAACTAAAAAGAAGAATGAATAAATTTACTACATACGACGATCGGCAAATTTTACCAGAGTTCTAATTACACATGTTTGATCCTCTTTTTATTCTTTAACGTATTATTCAATATGATAGGTATAGGTCTAATATTTGTTGAACTTGTTTGAGATTTGCTTAAACGAATAAATTTTACAAAGTTACATATATAATACTTACATAAAAATTCAAAATTATACGTGAGAATTAGATGGAGCTGAAAATCGTTCATTGTGAACATAATTTATATGGATCTACATTTCCCACGTGATTATGTTTCTCTTCAATGCCTCCTACAGTGATTCAGATGCGAAATTTTTTAGCAAAACACTTTGAGCATTCATTTTAAAATTTGAATTTTATTTAAAAATATTAGTGGGATTAAAACCGATTGTTAGTGAAATTGTATATTAAATGATAAAATTATAGAATAAATGATGCATTAATACTTAATTCGCGTGTAAAGTTTCTACGTTGACTTTACATTAAGGATTTGGGTTTTTTCTATTTCAATAGTATAACAATAAATAAGGTTCGTATGTTCGAGGAGCCTTCATTCTGAATCAAGTGGTCAATGAGCTGTAAGTGCAGTCTTGAGTAGGGATGTCAACGGTCGGTCACGGTCGGTTTCGGTCGGTCATCATCGGTCATGAGTCATGACCGAACCGACCGCGGTCATGACCGATGGGTAATTTAAAATTTTAGTATCTAGCATTATTTAATTAATTAATGTTAGTTAATTTAAGTTACTGTATTATACCGTAAATAATCTCCCTCTCTACCTATTTTTTAAATGTCAGATTAGTGAAAAAAAATTGTTAAATATCTCATTGTGATTTCTGTTAATCTGACATTTAAAAAAATAATGTAGAGGGGACGGTGCTTATTTATGATAGAATACAATAAAGTTTTCTTGATTTAGAGTTAATATGTTAATGCGGAATAGATTTATATTTAAATTATATAATCTGTAATAATATAAAATATAATTAATAATGTAATATTTTATTATAAAATAAATTTAATTTAATAATAGAGATAAATATAAATTTAGACTTATTGTCTAGGAAAAAACCCATTGGGAAAAAAACCTTAAATAAATATAATAAAATATAAATATAATAAATATGAATATAATAAAATAAATATAATAAATATGAATATAAATATGATAAATTTTTAAAATATATTATAAATATAAAATTTAAATAATATTTTCTAGAAACCAACTACATAAACATAAAGTTGTTTTTGCTGAATCACCACTTAATCTATTTCTTGATTTACATAAAACTTGTCCTGCAATAGAAAAAAGTTGTTCACATGGAACAGAACTTGCTTGTATACATAAATAATCATAAGCAAGAATTGAAAGTATTGAAAATTCTATTGAATGAGTTTTTCACCAATCTAAAGGATTAATATTTTACTTGCTTCAGATAATATCCAATATTTATAAACTTCATCATTTTGTTCATCAATTTGAGTATTTTCTTTTAAACATTGAAAAAAACTTGAAATTTTTTTAGGTGATTGTAAATTTAAGTTTTTAGGTTGATATTTTGTTAACTTTTCTTGAATTGGTAAAAAAATTTCTTCTGTAGTTTTGTTCAAAAAACAATATTTTTTATATCTTGGATCCAAAAAAGCAGATATATGAATTGATTCTTCTAATTCATCCCAATAAATTATAAGTTTATCAAACATATTATTAACAACATCTTGTAAAATATAATTATTTCCTTTATCAGATTCCAAATCTTTTTTAATTGCTAATAAAATAATATATGCATATGCAATTGTAGAATATTTTTGTGATGAAAGTATAATAGTTGCTTCTTCAAATTGTTCTAGTAATTGAATTAAATCTTCAAATTTTTCCCATTTATCATTAGTAGGCCAATTTGATTTTAAAGTAGAATTTTGAACAAATAACATTTCAATATGTTCTTTAAGTTTGCATGCTCTTTTGATCATATAAAATGTTGAATTCCATCTAGTTTTACAATCTAAAATAGATCTTAAACAAATTATATTATCCATTATTACAAAATTATCTAATTCTTCAATAAGTTTTGGTGATTTGTGAATATCCTTTATCAATTTTTTTAATTTTTTAATTGGTTTTCTAAACAAGTCAATCCTGCCATAACTATTAAATTAAGAATATAACCTATACATCTATAATGAGTAAATCCATTTTCAAATAGCTGATTTTGTAAAATTTTTCCACAAGTCATCATATTTGTAGCATTATCTATTGTTAAAGAAATTACTTTATTTTCTAATCCAAATTGTAAAAGTAAATTATAAATATGATCAGGAATAGCTTGTCCAGAATGTAAACCTTTAAATTTGTATATATCTAAAGTAAAATGTTGCAAAATCTAATCTTTATTAATTAAATAAATTGTAATAGCTATAAAACTTTCCATTTTAATTGATATTTATAAATCTGAAGTAATTGCAATTTTACTAAAAATATTTTTAATAAAATCTATAACTAAAGAATTTTATTATTATATAATGTTGTAATATGATTTTGAATAGTATTTCTACTAGGAATTTGAAAAGATGCATCCAATTTTTCTATCATTTCTTGAAATGATTTTTTTTCAACAATATTAAATGGTTAAAGATCTAAAATAATCCATTTAATCATTATATTTAGTTTTGCTGCTTGAATTTCTGGTGGATGTTTTTTAATAATAAAATTTAAAGATTGTTCATTTTTTTCTTTATTAATTAATAATCTATGATGATTTAAATGATTAAGAATAGAAGTAGTTGCTGTTTTTGCTGAAAAAATTTGTCCACATTTAGAACATTTACAAGTAGTTTTATTAACATATTTCTATACAATAGATTCTTTTTTAGAATTTGATTGATTTATTAATATCTGATCTGATAAAATAGTACTATCTTCTATATCCAATTCATTAACTTGATCATCTTCATTTTCAATATCTTCATTTATATTTTTTTCATCATCATTATAGATATTACTATTTTCTTCTATTTCATCATCAAATTCTTGATTGTATAAATCTTCTTCATCACTACAATATTCAGGAAAATTACTATCTATTTCAGACATAATTGAAATTTGATAATAAAAATGTGTTATAAAATGGATTAAAAAATTTAATTAAAATAGATTTAAAAAAGTTCTTATATATAGATATTTATATTTATTATTAATATATTTATATAGATTTCTTTATAAAGATATTTTAATAAGTTTAATCATTATTACAAATTTAACAATTTTTTAAGATCAATTAATGAATATTTAAATATGTGTATACGTACATACGTACGTACTTACGAACGTACATAAGATTGAATCTATATTAACTCAATTTAGTAATACCAGTACGATCACATGAAATGTGGGAGGGATGGTTGCGTTCAACTTTTTGGTGCGCTATATTTTTTCCTATTTT